TAACCAATTTAAGTATGATTAAATGGGCCTGAATGATGACTTTAGGTGATTATTGTGAGAAAATAAAATATATTTCAATAATGAATTTGCGTATATTATTGATTTTTTATCTTCCCCATCCTTTTTATTCTTTTTTTAAATAAAAACAGTTAAATCAAATTAATATTTTTAAAAAATCTGAATATTTCTGTTTATTTTATATACAGGTTGTCCTAATATTCAGTGGACATCAAATTTATTTTGCAAAAATGCAAGAAAAATATACCGGGGCGTCTCAAAAGTGGCTCACCCCTATAACTTTTTTATTTTTCCAGATAAAAAATCGAAATTTGGTATGTTAGTATATGACATAAATAAGGATTGATTGACGTATTCAATTGTTTTCGGTCAGTTCCTGTTTCACCGGAAATGACTACACTACAACTCTTGATTTTTTAATAGCACTTCGGTATAGTCTATAAAATGAATAACTTTGAATTTTGACCGTTATTTTTTACCAACATGGCAAATATAAAATCCCTCTGTCAAAAAAGTTACTGATATTCTTTAAATTGAGTGCCTGAACTAGCCTGAACGAATCAGATAGGTAACTCTTTTTACTTTCGTGAAATAGAAAAAAGGAAAATAATAAAAACAAGTGACAATTCTTCCTCTTCTTGCAAAAATCAACACGAAATGTCATAATTGACAAAGGGAGTAAATGTCATCAACAGCTTTGACATTTCTAAATATTAGACCAATGCGAGTCTCTATTAGGAACAGCCACGGAGCGACATTTATGACGTCACGCTAGTTAGATAATACGGATTAATAAATATGTTGGAGAATACATGGAAACATAATTATTCCTCGTATTTTTGGTTTGTATTTCAAAAATGATATAGTTTACATGAAATATACATAATATACAGTTAATAAATACAATATAATATATACCTATTTATTGTCCAGTACCGAATTTGAAAGATTTTGACTCCAAAACAATCCGTCAAGAATTGCATAAATGTAATGTAATGTAAATGTAATTGTAATAAATACTTTGGCTAATAAACATGAACCATACAAATGCAGCAAATGTTTTACAATATACAAATAATGAATAGGTGGTACATAAGATAATGGGTAAAATGTAAAATATATTTTAAATTTTGGGGTTCGAAAATCGATCTAATTTAACAAAAAACATTCAATATCTACTAATAGTGATGGCCATTATTTGCATTCACAAAATTTATTTATATATTATAATGTTTACTGCAATTAATAGAACTAATATTAACTTGTCAAAAGATGACCACATATTTTTTTTTAAATTATTATTCTTAACACAAAAACTATCTTTTACATTGACTATGTGAGTACGATTTCAGTCATATTGTAAAAACATTTACTGCATATGTATGGTTCATAGTTTATCTGCCAAAGTATTTATTAATATAAATAGGTATATATATTGTATTTATTAACTGTATATTATGTATATTTCATGTAAACTATATAATTTTTAAAATACAAAACCAACAAATCGAATAATTATGTTTTCCATGTATTCTACAACATAGTTATTAATCTGTAGTATCTTAACTGTAGTGTGACCACGTTATAAATCTCGTTCCTAGGCTGTTCTATTAGAGACGGCATTGCGTCAGCATGGCCGCAAGTTGCTAACCTAATAAAATTAACACTAGAAAAGCCCGCGGGAACTGTCAAATTCAAAGTTATTCGTTTTACAGACTATATTTTTACTTTATTCGATAGAAAATGACACTCTCAATAGAATGACGTATCATATGTCAAGTTTTTTCATTTTCGCATATGGTTTATTTGATGCGGTTTTTAACGACAATTTATCTCGAAATACCAAGTGTATGGTATCAAATTATTCGTAAAAAAATGCTCTTTCCAAATATGCTAATGAGCCACCCTCGTTCCATTTGAAAAAAAAATTGAGATATGATTAAAAATACGATTTGGACATCTTTTAACTGGCCAAGTTAAGACACTAACAAGGCTCCTTGATCGAAAATTAGTGTTTTTAACATAGCACTCTATATTAAAATTTTAAAATCAAATTTTTATTAAGGGAGAATGTTATTTGCTATCGAACAAAGTAAAAAAATACTGAGGGTGCCATTTAAAAATCAAAAGTTGTAGTAATTTCCGGTGAAACAGGAAGTGACCAAAAACAATTGAATGCATCAATCAATCCTAATTTATGTCATATACTAACATACCAAATCTCGTTTTCTTATCTGAAAAAATAAAAAAGTTATAGGGGTGAGCCACTTTTGAGACGCACCCGGTATATTAGCATGCCATTAAGGAACAACCTGTATATTTCTGGAGAAATTCCGCATAAACATATTTTCAATAAAACAAAATGAATTCCATTTGTTGCGTTGATTTTTCTAACATTTTGTATATCGGTTAGTAGGACAGAGGGCTATCAAAAATAAAAGAAATATACAAAAAAAGTGTTTTATTTCTTTTGCGTTTAAGAAAATTCACCTTAAGTATACAGGGTGTCTCAAGTTCGAGGGTGACCACTGATATATCACGGAAACTATAGACGGCGCTATTAATGGTGGGTTCATACAGCCAAATAAAATAAAATAAGAATAAAATAAAATAAAATAAGAAAGTTGGTTATATGGGATACCGTACATGCGTTCATACAGTCAAATAAAATAACAAATAAAATAAGAAGTCTTTATCTTTTAACTTCTTGTTTTATTTTATGTGAAAACGGCTTTGCGCACCCCTAATTCTAACCTACAAATATTTTCAGTTTGGATTTAATTTATTTTATAATTTCACATAAGTAAAATGTATAATATAGTAGGCAACGAATAAATAAATATACTATAAATATAAAATTACTATAAACAATCGTAAAAGTTAACTTTTATCCAGCCTCATCGTACTGCGCATGAGCAAATATATATTTCTTATTTTATTTTATTTGACTGTATGAACGCACACAAATAAGAATTCCTTATTTCTTATTTTATTTTATTCTTATTTTATTTTATTTGGCTGTATGAACCCACCATAAATATCAAATACGACGTTTCGTTTCAACTCTTTTTTTAAACACGGACCTAGGTTTTTTATTTTCTTTTAAAAGCCTATGACCTCCCAAATACAAAGATGCAGGAAACTTGCCCCAAAATGTATATGTTGGAGGCAGATGCCGAATTCGGCCTATGTCCGAAATAATTAGACATATGGCGATTATAATTAAATATACCTACCTATATCCACAAAGTTACGCGGAAGAGTTTTGATTGTATTGTTTTCACAGCTATGTGGAGGTGTTAATCTTTTGTTGTTATATTATATCAAAAAAGATTAACCCCCTCCGCAAAGAAGACCTATATAAAGGCTATTTATAACCACGAAGTTGCACGCATCTGGCAAGTTTAGTATGGACAAATCGCCATATGTCTAATTATTTCGGATTCCTCATGTCGATTCGGCATCTGCTCAACATACAGGGTGGTGCCTGTTTATAATGCAGGGCCAGGGGTGATCTCCTTGTTCAAAATAAAGCGGTAGTGTTAGTTTTATAGTCAGCAAAGTGTTCATCCATTAGAGATGTAGTAGTTGATGATGGAAAAAAGGGTAGTTTGCTTTTAATCTTGAAAACGAAAAAGAGATAGATTAATGAATTTGCGGTAAAGAGTTGGCGGAAATATGAAATAATTATTTTTCTGTGAAATTTTTCACTTTTAAAATGAGTAGGAAGGGGTTGAAATAAGCCTCCTATCACATTTCTTGTTAATGAAATTTAAGAAAAATCTTATCAAACACATGCAAAAAAAAAAAAAAAAAAATAAATTTTGATAGTTTAGTTTTATTTAGGAAACTTTTTATCTCTTGTGTTTTTTGATAAAAACTCACCGGATTTGAAATTAAAAATAAAATGTAAAGCATTACATGTCACGACAAAAACATTTTTAGATAAAGAAGAATCTAGTGGGCAGCTGTAATTTTTTAGGAAAAAATTTTAGTCGGCCGCTGTCACTTTTTAGGATGTTTCTAATATTGTTTTATTTGACATTACCCTACTGCAATACGTTATTATCTAGATTATTATTATCATTATTATCACTAGATTCTTAATCTAAAAATATTTTTTAGTCCTGACATGTAATGCTTTACATTTTATTTTTAATTTCAAATCGGTGAGTTTTATAAAAAAATACAAGAGATAAAAAGTTTCTAAACAAACTAAACTATCCAAATCAAATTGAGCTTTTACATGTGTTTGATAAGATTTTTCTTTAAATTTCGTTAACAAGAATGATAGGGGTAGTTTATTTCAACCCCTTCCACTCATTTTAAAAAAGTGAAAAGTATTACCAGAAAGTGTGTTTTCAACAGTAATAAGCTTCCATAAAAATTAGAATGAAGACATCATTGACTACTTCTCTTTCTGTTTTCAAGATAAAAAACAAGAACATTATTTTTCCACCATCTTAAAATTCAAGTGATATCTCCCTCTAATGAAGCTGACTTTGACCCAACGTTTATGAAGCAAACAACCCTTTATTTTGATTAAGGAATCACCCCCTGAAGTTTTTCGCATTTGTTTTGAAACACCCTGTATATACAGAAAATTCAAATTCCCATAACAGGAAATTTCCATTGCAATTGAGAGGTGATAAGCTTTAAAAAAAATACAATTATAAAGGGGACAAAGTGACACTAATGAACCGACATACAGTCCTGGTCACTGTATTTCCGTGTCCGTAAAATAAAACAACAAATTATTGAGTCTACCCCACGTCTACCCTACATCATAGTTTTACATTTTTTAAATAAAATTAGAACGACACTGATAAACCGGAATTTAAGTCGGCCATATTTGAGGCCCATCGCGGTGTACCTAAGATTTTTGATATGCTCCTTCCTTAGTCTTCTTATTCAAAGGTATATTCTAAAATATCTCCTCAAACACACCAAGGAAAAAATAAAAAGGATTTTACAATTTTTCGGAAATATTGCAATTTGCGAAACTATATTTTATTAGACATAAAATGTCGAAACTTCGCCATAATATAACCTCCTTCATATTCCTTATAGTTTCCGAGATAACACAATGGTTACCTCCGAATTTGGTCCACCTGGTGGTATATCTCGGTTATTATCTACCCCTCCCCCTTCCTCTTTGGAAGCTGCCTCTTCCTCTGCCTCCCGGGTTCCCCTTGCCCTTAGGCGGTGGACTTTTGGGCCTTAGGGCTTCTATTCTCTCGGTGCAGCCGGTGGTAGTTTGGTTATTTGCGAAATTGCTGGAGTATATGTCGGGCATGAAGTTGGAATTGGTCAGTTCGGGGCCGATGGTCAACCAGCCCGGCCTTATTGTGGAGTCTTTGCCGAAAATGTGCAGTCTTCTTCGACCTGGATGGAAAAAAAAACTTTGTTACAAGGTGTGCAAAACAGCAGCAAAACAGCGTCCATTCAACACAAATCAGTGAAAATTTCGACACTCAAAAAATTACAGAATATACAATTTCATTGTGAATTAAAATGACAGACACAGCTGTCACTGTCACGTATTGGACAAACCCTATGGACAAACTTTAGTTATAGTCCGTAAAACGAATAACTTTGAATTTGACAGTTCCCGCGGGCTTTTCTAGTGTTAATTTTATTAGGTTAGCAACTTGTTATATGTTGACACATTGTCGCAATCTCTTCTAATAGAACACTCAGATGAGGATTTATGACGTCACGCTAGTTGGAATTACTACGGATTGATAAATATGTTGTAGAATACATGGAAAACATAATATTCCTCGTATTTTTTAGTTTGTATTTTAAAAATGATATAGTTTACATGAAATATACAGTTAATATACATACAATACATATACCTATTTATAGTAATAAATACTTTGGCAAATAAACTATGAACCATACAAATGCAGCAAATGTTTTAAAATATGGCTGAAATCGTACTCCATAGTCAGTGTAGAAAGTTTTTAGTGTTAAGAATAATAATTTAAAAAAAATATGTGGTCATCTTTTGACAAGTTTATATTAGTTTATTAATTGTGCAGTAAACATTATAATATATAAATAAATGTTGTGAATGCAAATAATAATACATCACTATTAGTAGATATTGAATGTTTTTGTTAAATTAGATCGATTTTCAAACCCCCAAAATTTAAAATATATTTTACATGTTACGCATTATCTTATGTACCACATTATTGTGTATATGTTGTAAAACATTTGGCTGCATTTGTATGAATTCATAGTTTATTTGCCAAAGTATTTATTTACCATAAATAGGTATATATTATCTCTTAATCTAAGTATATTATATTGTATTTATTAACTTTGTATATTATGTATATTTCATGTAAACTATATCATTTTTAAAATACAAACCAAAATACACGAGGAATAATTATATTTTCCATGTATTCTAAATATATTTATTAATCCGTAGTATCTAACTAGCGTGACGTCATAAATCACTGCCCGTGGCTGTTCTATTAGAACGGCATTGGTCTAATATTTAGAAGTGTCAAAAAGCTGGATGACATTTTACTTTTTTGTCAATTATGACATTTCGTGTTGATTTTTGCAAGAAGAGGAAGAACTGTCACTTGTTTTATTATTTTCCTTTTCTATTTCATGAAAGTAAAAAGAGTTACCTATCTGATTCGTTCAGGCACTCAATTTAAAGAATATCAGTAACTTTTTTGACAGAGGGATTTTATATTTGACATGTTGGTAAAAAATAACGGTCAAAATTCAAAGTTATTCATTTTATAGACTATATAATGCTGCATGGACGTGCTAAAGAAATTATGCATAAACGTTAATTTTAAAAATGTTGCTAAACAAAAAAAAATCTTGCAAAAAAATGTTCTTTTGCATACAGGGGAGCCTCCAAAAATGCGTGCAATTCTCTCAAGTTAAACTAATTTAAGTCCACTTTCACAAAATAGGTTAAACAAAAGTGATTTAACAGAAAATCTGAAAATATCAATAACTGAATAATTTTATATAGTGTGTTCAAGATATTTGGATATCTGTAAATTGTAAAAATAATCAAAACTTAAGTATGTTATTTGGTATAGAGTGGAGAAAAAAGACTTACCCAAGCAAAAATGCTCTATTATATGAAATATTTCTACAGGTTTCTCCAAGCTGCCATACTCAGGTTCTTCAGATATGATTAAATCAATATCCACATTTGCATGGATAAAATCACCATCTGTCGATCTTCTAACAGTACCTGAAGAAAACAACAGTAAAAAATCAACAGAAAAAAACCAACAAGACAAAAACAGATAAAAAAACTAGAAAACAGATAAAAAAATAGAAATAAAAATAAATATTGTATGAATTGGTATACAGAGGATATACACACCTTTAATACCCATCAAACAATGCTCCTTAGTTCTCTGAAATACAGCTTTGGGATCCAGATTTTTTGAATGTCCCGGATTTTTTATATTTGTTTTTATCCAACAGATATCTTCACATCTAGAACATACTTAAGACAATAAAGAACTTCAGGAAAATAAATAAATATTCAGGGTAATCAAGAAAAGCTCTTAAAGCTTTGAAATAGTATAAGGTAATTTAAATAAATTTTTTAAACTAAACTTAGCTTTTTCTTAAATAAAACTCACCTTCTGAAGCCCCATTTCCTGAGACACACCCTGCCCATATCCAGACCATCCGAACTGCCACACCACAAAAACACAAAACTTCTCTGTGCCGCTACCTCCCCCACGTCCAAGTTCATGATCCTGTCCCACGACCAAAATTGCATATTGGTCGCGCCCATCGTCCTCTGGTACTCCTCCAAAGGCGGCTCAATCAATATAACGTCGAACTTTCCGTTCAAACTCTTGAAATCGTAAGAGGCTAGGTCGCATTTTAAATACATTGGCGGTGTGGCAGTTTGCGATATTAATTCATCTTTTAAACGGATTAGTTCCCTTAATTTTGGGTATTCTTCAAACCTTATACAAAAAAGAGTGTATTTTTAACATGTTTCGATATTAAAAAAGTATAAATACCTATCTGCTAGACCAACATCTCGAATAAAGTTCTGGGGTCTTTGACCAGTGTCAACAAAGTGTTGGCAATAATCATTGTGAGGATTTGACGACTGTGTACCCTGGAATAACCTTATATTTAAACAGATTCATACAAAAATCAAAAGATTACCTTCAAAAATGTGGAAGAGTCTCGATAAACCATTTCATCAAGTGCCTCCTTTTTATAATCATATTGCTCATTCTCCTGCAGGCTTGAACTGGGTTTATTACTCAATTTCTTTGCAGGAACATCTCCCGTTCCCAATATTTGTCTCAATTCTTCCGCCCCAGAAACCCCAAGCTGGAAAAATACAAATTTAGTAAAAAGTTTGGATCGTGTTGTTTTATTTTGTCTCACTGTTTGTACAAGTAATTGTTTCCTTTTCCGTGATTTTTCTCGTAATTCCTTTAGCATATCTCCCATTTTATTGATTAAAGAAGTTAAATTTAATTTAATAACAGTTTTTAATTCAATAATTACAGTGTTTTGTAGTCGATTTTTAGATCACAAAATTATAGGTTAGGTTAGTGTTAGTTGTCAAATTGGATTTATTTGTGTGTTTTTTTGGTTGCCTAGTTTTCGTGCCTAAATATTCTGATTCAAAAAAATTAAAATGTTTGAATTACATAAGAGTATTTTAAGTTTATTTAAAATATATTATAATAGTTTATTCAAAGTTTGTTTTAAATATTATTTAAAATAGATTTATTTTAGGCCAAACAACTTTGTGCTGATATACTGAATACTACAATGCATTTTTTGTGTTGTTGGTACAAAAAATAATATAATATAAAAAAATAAATACGATTAACTTTGTATAGAATCCATACAGTACACTTCTTCAGCAGATTTAGTTTTAAGCCGTCTATATATTCACAACGTATTTTATATATTTTAATAATTTTGTGTTTTAATTATATCTATTTATTTTAAAATGTTTTTTCTTCAAAATGGCTTTTTTAACAATGTTTAGAAGAAAACACTGAACAAAAAATTGTTTATCGTCGATTTTGAAGAAGTTACGTAAGGAATATAGGTAGAAATTTGTAGGGTTTTGAACAGATTAGATTGAATCAGTTGAAGATGGCATGTTATTTACCATTATCCGCTGCTAAACCCGTGATGGACGTTGCCAAAAGTTCTGATACCATGTCTGAGGTATCAGAAAACGGTACCGTGACGTCTGAGTGGACTTCCAAATGGGATTCCAGGGAAGATTTGAGGGATTTGGTGACCAGGCTGGGGCTGACCGACTTGGCTGATTTGCATCAGGAGAGATTCAGGGTGGACAGGACCAAATTGGAGAAGATGCTCACAGGTAAGGTCACAAAAAATCTCAGTATTTATTTTACATCCGTTTTTGCGTGTTATTTTTTCAAAAACCTACATTTCGATCTTAATAGAACAAAGATATACGAAATATAAACTTATTCGTCGGCTTTATGACGAAATAAGGCGTATCTCGATTTTTGCTACTTTTCAGGAGAGCAAATTAAAGAAAACAACTTACTTTATTTGGCCAATAAATGTAAAGTCTTTAATTTTTTAATAGTGTTTTTGTATTAACACTTAAACGGAGACATTGAGGAAACGTTCTGAAGATAAATTGTGCGTAAATTCTAATAAATAATTTCTTTTTGGTTGTTTAATAGAGATAGGCCTTTTTGTTATAATAATAATAAATTTATTTCCGAACGAATAGTATACATACGCCCATGTAAAATAAATTTAAAAATGATGGTAAAGTGTTCTTAATAAGGAAAAAAAATACAATATTCACATTATGGAATTACATACAAGAAAATACAATACATACATACAGAAAAAATCTGAAAATCACCAAAAAATCAGAAAGAAATATTTTTAAATACTTTTATTCGCGTTGGATTAGATCAACTGAAAACAAAGACAATTTTCAATATTGACAATTTAATAATATTGTTTTTTATACAAAAATACATTTTTTTAACTAATATATTTTTAGTAATTATTCGGTTAAGTCCGTTTAATAAAAATCAAGCTAAACAAAAACAAAACATGTTTCTTCATTCGTGCCTTTTTGATACAAATAACTGTGGACTAACAGTTTCTGTTTTCCCTGTTCAATGATAAAACTTCCATTCTACGTGTTTATGCAGGATGATAGGCACAATAAATAAAATTTTCCAAAAATTGACAAGGGATGACAATGCCAATGGCCTGACAATGATAATGAGATAAAAATTATTGTATTTTTCGGGCAAGTCTTCGTCGTAACGAAGAATTGTAATATTTGAGATGGGGCAAATTTTTAAACGAATATAAAATGAAAAAGGTACAATATTGAGATGCGCAAATTCGCTATGTTAAAATATGACCCATTGGGTATGTCATGACGTTGAAAACTCAAAATCGCCAAAAATCGAGATCCGCCTTTTCGTCATAAAGCCGATGATATTTTCTCTTTTGAAAGAAAATTTAAGAAGAAGTTAACATACAAAGACACAAGAAAAATGGTTATTTTTTGACAATCCTAATTTCTTCTAATTAATCTCCTAATTCAGATATATACAGTATGTCTCTGGAAATGTGACGTTCTGAGAAAAATGCATTCTTCGTAAAGAAATTGCTTGTTCTAAAATGGTTAATCCAAATTTCCATACCGCTTTTGAGAAAATAAAAAAAAAACATGAAAATGTAGTTGAATTTTTTCCTAAAATTATATTACCATAGAACCCTTTCTTGATTTTCAGGAATGAGGAAAAAATTCAACTATATTTTAGCTTTAGCTATGATATTTTAGTAGCAAACATTTTTTATGAAGAATGCATTTTTCTTAAAATGTCAATATTAAAAAAGTTACTGCTCTTGTAAATTGTAAAGACAATCCGGGAACATACTGTATATGAGAAAAAAGTTGATTTCTAGTTTCTTAAAACTTTATTTTCTCTTAATAATTTAGGTAGGTTGTTTGGTATACAGGGGAGCTTAAAAAATTCGGTAGTAGATGTGAGAAAAAACTTTTTAAATATTTTTTTGGTAAAATTATATTACCATAGAAACCTTTCTTGATTTTCAGGAATGAGGAAAAAATTCAACTATATTTTAGCTTTAGCTATGATATTTTAGTAGCAAACATTTTTTATGAAGAATGCATTTTTCTTAAAATGTCAATATTAAAAAAGTTACTGCTCTTGTAAATTGTAAAGACAATCCGGGAACATACTGTATATGAGAAAAAAGTTGATTTCTAGTTTCTTAAAACTTTATTTTCTCTTAATAATTTAGGTAGGTTGTTTGGTATACAGGGGAGCTTAAAAAAATTCGGTAGTAGATGTGAGAAAAAAGTTTTTAAATATTTTTTTGGTATATTTTGAAAATAATTCTCTTTAGTAAACTTTACATTTTTACTATCTCTTTACATACCAAATAACATACTTACTTTTTTACTAGTTTTAATAGCAATTTGCTGAGATACAGAGACATATACCATGATTAACATACTATAGTCTATAAAATGAATAACTTTGAATTTTGACCGTTATTTTTTACCAACATAGGAAATATAAAATCCCTCTATCAAAAAAGTTACTGATATTCTGTAAAATGAGTGCCTGAACGAATCAGATAGGTAACTCTTTTTACTTTCATGAAATAGAAAAGGAAAATAATAAAACAAGTGACAGTTCTTCCTCTTCTTGCAAAAATCAACACGAAATGTCATAATTGACAAAAGTAAAATGTCATCAGCTTTTGACATTTCTAAATATTAGACCAATGCCGTCTCTAATAGAACAGCCACGAAGCGAGATTTATGACGTCACGCTAGTTAGATACTACGGATTAATAAATTTGTTGTAGAATACATGGAAAACATAATTATTCCTCGTATTTTTGGTTCGTATTTTAAAAATGATGTTTTATATACAGAGTATACATAGTACATAGTTTACATGAAATATACATAATATACAGTTAATAAATACAATATAATATATACCTATTTATAGTAATAAATATTTTGGCAAATAAAACTATGAACTATACAAATGCAGCAAATGTTTTTAAATATACAAATAATGAATAGGCAGTACATAAGATAATGGGTAAAATGTAAAATATATTTTAAATTTTGGGGTTTGAAAATCGATCTAATTTAACAAAAAACATTCAATATCTATAAATAGTGATTACAGTAGTGAATAGTAAGTTATATAATACTGATATATTATTATTTGCATTAACAAAATTTATTTATATATTATAATGTTTACTGCAATTAATAAACTAATATAAACTTGTCAAAAGATGACCACATATTTTTTAAATTATTATTCTTAACACAAAAACTATCTACTTTGACTATGGAGTACGATTTCAGCCATATTGTAAAGCATTTGCTGCTTTTGTATGGTTCATAGTTTATCTGGCAAAGTATTTATTACTATAAATAGGTATATGTATTGTATTTATTAACTGTATATTATGTATATTTCATGTAAACTATATCATTTTTAAAATACAAATTAAAAATACGAGGAATAATTATGTTTTCGTACACATATATTAAGTATTCTACAACATATTTATAAATCTGTGGTATCTAACTAGCGTGACGTCATAAATCTCACTCCGAGGCTGTTCTATTAGCGACGGCATTGCGTCAGCATGGCCGCAAGTTGCTAACCTAATAAAATTAACACTAGAAAAGCCCGCGGGAACTGTCAAATTCAAAGTTATTCGTTTTACAGACTATATATAGATATTTGGCTAATTTGTATATGGCAGGAAACTATACAAGGTGCTAATTTTTTTTAAATCAGGCACTAAATTTAACGTATTTTTAAGGCGATAATGAGGCACTTTTTCCTGCTGACGTATTTTTTGCAAAAGTCATGGAAGACACGGACACGATCATAACATGGCCCAATAAATTAAAAATAGGCGCCAAATCGAAAAAAGGTACCTCTAAAAGGGTATAATTGGTACAATACGTACAAAACGATATAATAAAATTAGATACAAAATAATATACCGGGTGTCTCATTCATTACTCATGTTGCAAACAGAAAATTATATGAAGACTACAGGGGAAAAACGATCTAAGTCACACTTTCTTACTTTTGAGATAAATGAATTTGAAACTTTAAAGACTAAAGGAAAAGAAATAATAAAATGTAGCGAATCGTAAGAAGTTTTTATCAATAGTTATATGTCTAGACATTAACTAATTAAGAGACAAAATAAAGAACAATAATTTGTAGCAAATTTGTTAGATAAAATAAAAGTCGTATTCGCTTGGTTCAATGGAAAAGTGATCCAAGTCCATATGGAATAATTCTGTATGTGGTTACTCCGAGAATTACTCGTGCTGGAATAAAGAGAAAAATATGTTTTTATTCTCATTTTTATTTGGTGGTGCTTTATTGTGTTGTTGTTATTATATTTTCTAAATATTTTTTTATTTATTTCTTATTTTTTTCATCATTTTTTTATTAATATTATTAGCATTAGATTATTTTTTACTTAGGAATGGCGATTTATTTCTGATAAAACGAAACTACACTACTAGACAGTCTCCTTATGGTTCCAGCAGAACATTTCCAGAATTTAATTTCTTTGAATTTAAAACTAGTAAAGCAATATAGTTTAATTGATATTACTCACCATATCTGCATCGTTTAGATGAGCATTGTTTGACGCCCAAGGCAAATTTGTGTAGTAGTCTTCCAGAGATTCATCTACGAACTTTTTCAAAGATTGTAACTGCTCATACTTGAGTTTGGGCAAAGGAATTAGGTCAGCATAAAGTTGTTGTGGTGCTGAATATATAGCTATGTTTATTCGTTTTGTATGCGTTGATATGTTTACAAACATGAAATATGGACTTGGATCGGTCTTCCGTGAATTCACGTGGACTTAGATCGCTTTTCCAAAGTATTAATATTTTAACCGCTGATTTTAGTGGACTTAGATTATTATTTCAGCGTTGCATTATTCCTATTTTGGAACGGACACTTGATGGGTATACGATGTCAGTGACATCTCAATTTTCATTTTTTGGACTTAGTCCGTTTTTCCCGTGTAGTCTTCATATGCATTTCTATAGAAAGCTTGAGCTATTTTTTTTTATTTTTGACACCCTGTCTATTTTCTGGTATATTTAAAATCAAAAATGGCATATTTACGAAGCCGACATACATGTGTTAAAATATAAATACAAACTTGTGTTTGATTTTATTGCATCGCATATTTGTACCTATTAAAGAAAAAAAAAAACGGTGTAGAATATTAACAAAATACCGTACGTTCGAAAAAAAAAAACGGCGTCAGTGTTGGCTTGGGAATAAAGATCGCTGTCATTTTAGATGTAACATTATATGGGAAATGTCATCGATCGTTATTTCCAAGCCAACTTGACGCCGTTTTTTTCTATCATACGGTATATTCCCTGTAGGCATGCTATTTGTTTCTTGAGATATAAGTACACTTGTCATATAAATAAAGACAAAACACTGGATATACACTACGTTATAAAAGTATTGTTAATTAATTTATAACTTTTTGTTATCATACTGGGTGTCCCAAATGTTTGTTCAATTTTTTATTGTTATATTCATATGTATATGTATAAGACAAATACTGTGTTCGTTGTACTGTGTTGTTCCTGTAACGTTTTATGTATATTTGATATTTTTAACTGTAAAATACCTTCTTGAAAGTTAATGTACTCGTTTGGCAGGGAATATATGAATTAGGGTGGGTCAAAAAAAATGACTATTTTTTTTCACTTTATACTTTTATACTCTAAAAAAAAAGGTTGGTGGACATCTCAAAAAAATTCTCTCCAAGTATGAGCTCTTAATTTTAATAGGAAGGTCTTTCGCCACTTAGTTTTCTATATTTCCGTATTATTAGAAAGAAAAATTCATATCTCGGCATCTACTATTTCGAAAAAATATCTCTTTCTATATGTTTGTAGGAAATTAAATTCTTTACAAAAGAGGTCTCTTATATTTTTTTTGTAAATCTCACCGTTCGAAAGTTATTAAAGGTTGAAGTTTGCTTATTTTAAGGAAGTTTTCTTTTTTCTTATGAATGTTCTAACTTGTTAACAAAAAATCATTATAATACGCGCACTCATGGTTTTGTAAAAAATTCACAGCTCTACAAAAATGGTTTCTTATAATTAGTCGCTTGAATTAACCGTTTAAAAGATATTCATAGTCAAACTTCAATGCACAATAATTTTAACAGTTTTTGACTAATAATGCGAACAATTCCAATTTATTTTATAAGTTTCGGGAAGATTTGTATAAATTTGAGTTTCTATGAACAAATAAATGTTTTAAATTTTTTTTTAGTTCTTTTAGTCGTTATTTACTTGAAATTTAATGAATCATTGTCTCTAAGTTAGAAAAAATGCAATCATTTTTTATTCCAATGTACCCAAACATGTTTAGAACTAAAAAACCTAGAAAAAAAGTTTAAAGCATTTCTTTGTTTATAGGAACTTAAATTTGTACAAATTTTTCCGAAACTCATAAAATAAATTGGAATTGTTCGAATTATTAATCAAAAACTGTTAAAATTATTATGCGTTGAAGTTTGACGATGAATATCTTTTAAACGGTTTATTTATTTATCGTATGACATACATGCAAGAAAACCAGACACTTAAACATAGACATAAAATAAACTACAATGTAAATGAAAACATTACAATGTAAATATAAAAAAAACAAGTATATGATAAAAAGACAACATAAAAAACGTATGTACGAACACTATACATATATTAACATCTAGATGCCCTATCCGTTCCAAAGCTGATGGAGAAGCCTCCAGAAAGTCCCTCCAGTCTTCACCATAAGCGCGTAGGTTGCACACTCTAGTTATGTGATGGATGGTTTGGTGAGAGGATCCGCAATCACATTCTGGGGAAAGTATTTTCCCACTTATAAAGGGAATCCGCACATCTTCCATGGTCAGAGCGTATCCTATTCAAAGTTGACCATGTTTTCCGGTTTAGATCGGTACCCGGTGTCTGGCAATAGTTATTTTCGAACCAGGAGTATAGGCGAGCATCGGCCATTTCTCTCCATAACTGAAGCCACTGTTCCCGAGAATTGTAGTTACTGCTTTTTAGTTGTTTAGCTGTTCGCAAAGGTGGATTCCTCGACTTAAGTCTATTCACCTGTAAAGCAGGAAGTGTTTCATGAACCGGTAGCCTTGGGGTAGCTATTATTTTATCAAATTCTCTAAGAAGAGCCTCGTTTCTGCGTAGATTTGGAGGTAGGATGTTACTCAGAACTGAAAGCCAGTAACTAGGTGTGCATCTGATTGTCCCTGTAATCACTGGTGTTGTTCAGCTGTCTGTCTACGAGATTTGTGTGGTGGCTATTCAACCACACTGGTGCATAATACTCTGCCACACTGAATAGGGCGGAGATTCGAAGTGTTGTTGCTTTTGCACCCCAAGAAGTACCACAAAGTTTTTGTATAATGTTGTTTCGTGTTCTGATTTTACCAGCAACATTTTCTAGGTGTTCTCGAAATGAGAGTGTACGGTCCAGAGTAATCCCCAGATATTTTGGATAAACGGTTAATTTAATCGACTAATCATAAGAAACCATTTTTGTAGAGCCGTAAATTTCCTACAAAACCATAAATTGCTCGTAGCATCACAGATTAGGTATCCTATAAGTATACAGATAAAAATCTTGTCCCTAATTCGTGGTACGAAAGTTGACGATGTGCAAACGAGACAAATTTCCTGTGCGCAAAAATAAACTCGCGTAAAATAACAATAAACAGCGTAATAGAGAGATATCGCTAAACCGAATAGCGTGCATGGACGTTAATAATGCCAGGTGTTATTTCCTTTACGTGAGGTGGTATTAACTCTCTTCATTTATAGTTATCGGATCGGAAAGAATTCTGATCGCGTGGCGTCCGCTATTTAAACTTAACCTAACTTTGAATTTAAAACTTAGAAATTGTTTTGTTTACTAGGTATTTTAAAACTAAAGGGCTAAATTGCTTATTTCCAGTGCTTTATTGTTCAATTGTCTGCCAGTGGGTTTAGGGCAACAAGCAACAAATTCTCTTAGAAGGAATAAGTCGTCATCTGCTGTAAACCTAAGACTCTTTATAGGTTCTTTAGTATTGGAAGAGGTGGAGTCCATATTTTGGACCATATTTATTTAATTAAAACTAATCCCAGCTACTTAAATATCAAATTACCTAATAAAACTAAAGCAATAATTCAAAACAATTCAAACATAACATAAAATAAAAGATTTCGCCCGCCGGCTCCGGTTGTCAAATACCCGCACATGCCCATTTAAGCAATTTTTAAACGTTATCAGAGGTTATTTAGAAAGAGCGCTTGGTGTAATTGATCCGCAAATTACGTCAGGCGGTAACGTTATTAGCGGCTGTTGCGTTAAAAATTGACTCGCGCATATCGTAACCATGATAAGGTACGCGTAAATACTGCATGACGCTATTCGGTTTTCCGATATCTCTCTAATAACTGTGCCGGTCAGGCGCTGTGCACAATTTTAGAGGCCATAAGTGGGCGTGCTATGTGCGCAAACTAGTCACCTAACTAGTGCCCGATTCCGAAAATTGGAACCACGAAAAACAATAAAGAAAAAACAAAGATTATAATCTGTATAATCTGTGGTAGCATAATGATTTTTTGTTAACGAGCTATAAAATTCATAAGAAAAAAAATCTGCCTTAAAATCATCAAACTTCAACCTTTAATAACTTTCGAACGGTGAGGTTTACAAAAAAATTGTAAGATACCTTTTTTGTAGAGAATTCAATTTCCTACAAACATATGAAAGGAGATATTTTTTCCAAATAGTAGATACCGAGATATAAATTTTTCTGTCTAATAATAAGGAAAAAATAGAAAATTGAAAGGCGGGGACCTTCTTATTAAAATTAAAAACTCATACTTGAAGAGAATTTTTTTGAGGTGTCTACCAATCTTTTTTTCAGAGTATAAAGTGAAAAAAAATAGTCGATTTTTTAACCCACCCTAATATGAATAGTTAAAACATATTTTGGAGTTATTGTTGTTTTAGATCCACATGTCAGAATTGCCGGTAGAGCTGATGATGTTCAAATGGCCAAAGAGAGAATACTGAGCGTTCTGAATACAAGGGTAAAGCTTTATTTTATTATTACACTGTAATATCATTGTAGTATCATTATTTTATCGATTCCTACAGTGCAACAGAGTGACAATGAAAATGGACGTGAGCTATACCGACCATTCCCATATTATTGGCAAAGGTGGACTGAGTATCAAGCGTGTCATGGAAGAAACCAGGTGTCACGTCCACTTTCCAGACTCAAACAGATCAAATCCTAATGAAAAAAGCAACCAGGTGTCTATATCTGGAGATTTGGATGGCGTCGAAAGAGCTAGATCTAGAGTTAGGGTAAGACCAGAAAAAATGATGTGTCTACTATGTGCGCATATTTGATGTGCTACTTCTTATTAACAGCTATTAAATTAAAGGATTTGAATATCACTTTAATTCGTCAAATCGAGGGTTTGTTTTTATCCTTATCCGTTAACTTTAAAACACTCTGTGCAATAATTTCTTTCGAACGGTTATAATATGCCAAATACTAAAGTTTATAAAAAACTGAGTTTGCAAATTAAAGTTGATATAATTATACAGGGTGGCTCATCGAAAACGTTCCGCAAGGCATAACGGCCAGGGTATTTTTTTTCGAAAAATCCAAAAACGCGTCAATTTTGTTTGTGAGGGGGACAATTTTTGCCTCAAAAATGATTGCAAAATCTTTAACCCTCTAAGCGGTGGTGTCATCCCCCATTTTTTTTCAAATGGGAAGGGGGATCAAGTGGTACCGCATTGAAAAGGGCTTTCTATTCTCTATACTTTCCCGCTTCGTTTTTGAAAATCGGTCGAGCCATTGAGAAAATATGAAGGATTGAAATTTGAAAAGTTTATTTAAACATTTATCAGAGTAAATGATAAGGATACATTCCTTCGACCAATTTGCTGTTTTTTTCTTATTATTTCTAGATGTTTACGCTTTTTTTCATTTGCCATAAGGTTGAACAATCATGTGCGGTAGTTGCTAGATAGCTGTTCTGTGACTTGTGCGTCGAAGTTCTTCTCAATATCGTTAAACTGACCTACAATAGGATTTCCAAAAATACCACCCCACAGGTTCAATTTCTGAGGGTTTTGTGTGTGCACCTCGTGATAAACCCTGGAATTGTCCTCAACCCAGTACCGACAGTTGAGCCGATTAACTACATCGTTTAAAAAGAAACTCATCCGAAAAACACACATTAAATAGGAAATTATTATCATTCGCCACTCGGTAACTCATAGTTTCACAAAATTGCAAGCGACAATCAAAATCGTGTTCGTTAAGTTCTTGTACCAACTGAATTTTGTACGGGTGGAACTTGTGTTTTTTTAATATCCTTTGGACACACAGTAGGCAATATGTCCAAACCAAGTTGCAAAAAATAACATCCACAGTTAGCATTTATGGCAATAACATTAGATTGGAAAGATATTAGTTAAGAGGAAACCACATAAAACTAACAAAAAACCTTATTCGGAGTCTCTTACGACGGGCTGTAAAACGAACTTTGCGCAAAACCTACATTTTCAGTTAATTTGTGTCCAATAACTGCCTTTTTTCTACAATTTTTTAAATAGTAGGCGTTGCATTCAAGTGACACAGTATTATAACAATTGAATCGGACGACCTTAGCTTGCTGTCAATAATTATTGTGAAATTGTCATAATGTGTTTTACGTAGATTCCCGGTTGCGGTAAATTTAATGTCAAGGTAAGTAAAAAGGATCTTTTATTTTGATTTTTTGGATAAAAAACTAGGTAAAGGTCAAAGTAGAACATAATCATTTAAGGTTTTTTTGATAGTGGCATATATTCTATCTTAGAAAAGTTAAGTCAAAACAATCGCAAAAATCGCAACTTTAAACTTATTGGAAGCGTATGTCTCCCATGCGTATGTGTATAGTAAGATCCTTTATGTGGATACTTCTCATAAATTAATTGTTATAGTAGCTAGAGAAGAACTTGAAATATAAAGTTACGTAATTTTTCTCAAGATTTCCGAAGAGATATGTCATAAATGTCAAATAACATTTTTTGACAAATTGACAAATTTTGACAGTACCTAATTTTTAAATTAAATGAAATGGATTTTTCTTTCAGATTTAAAAATATGCACTTCGTGACCATTGCTTCCAGCTGTTATAAAACAAAATATCAGTAAATAGTAGGTGGTAAAATAAAATTTAGATATTTTTAATAGGTATAAGTTCTGTTATTTTCTAAATCGTCATTGTTTAATTCTCAGAATATTGTTACTTATTTAAAATATAATAATAAAATATTGTTCACATATTGTCTGGTATTATTAGAGACCCAACTTATTCAAATGACAAACAATCTTGAATAAAAGTTCGACTGGATTAGTATACTTAGGGTTTTCTTTTATACATTGACACCCTTTATCTTTTTATTTGACGTTTCCGAAAACTGTCTCAAATGAAAGTGGTTTTGAATAAATTTGCCAAAAAAGTCTATTTCGCATATCCAAAGTGCTTCAAAAAATCTGGGCGTGGTTCAACTATCTTATTTCAAATTAGGTATAGGATATGCTACATAAAAGTAGTTAGGATTTTTAGGAGAAAATCAAAAATATAAATAAAAAATTGGGTACTAATTTTAAATAAGAAAGTTGGGCCACGCACAGGATTTCTAAGGCACCCGGTATATGCAAAGAAGACTGTTTTGAAAAATGTATTCCAGACCATTCAATTTTTATTCAAGACACTTTTTTCGAAAACGTCGAATAAAAAAGATACAGAGGATGTCAATATATATACCTAACCTAACAAACCCTGTATATGCCGGAGGAGTAATAATTGCTCAATATTTGTCTGTTTCATCTTGGCTCTGCCAAAAATCGTAAAATTTAGTGAAATGTAAAATATTCTTACCGCATTTTGGTAGCTGTATTAGTCAAAAGATGATTTTTCCATTTTATGAATCCCCCCCACCACCCCCAGCCAATCTCAAGTCAGCCAAAACTAACTGGGTTCATGGGCTACTGGCATAGAATGTTTTTACCAAATTTGAATGAAATCGTACAATAAAAGAATTTTTGCAACATACTTCTGGATTTTTGCCCACTGTGGGACACTTACGACGTACGATTGGCGTACGATTCACGCCGGTCTCATTGGCTAATTTTCTTGTACTCAGCGTACTCTCCATGGAAACTTGGCCCAATACGAATATCTCCATAGCTTCATTTACTACAGGATTTTTTTGCCTCTTTTTATTCATTATGGAACAGTTTCGCGAATAATTTTGCCATAAAGGTGTTTGTCAGGATAGCGTTCATTGGTGGCGTTCAAGTGGTCGAAGGAACTTATCCTTGCTCTGATAAATGTTTAAATAAACTTTTCAAATTTCAATCCTTCATATTTTTTCAATTATTCGACCGATTTTCAAAAACGAAACGGGGAAATATAGAGAACAGAAAGCTCTTTTCATTGAGGCGCCACTTGACTCCCCTTCCCATTAAGGGCTGGGGGATGACACCCCCGCTTAGAGGGTTGAAGATTTTGCAATAATTTTTGGGGCAAAAGTTGTCTCCCTCACAAACAAAATTGCCGTTATGCCTTGCGGAACGTTTTTCGATGGGCCACCCTGTATAGAGTTTGCTAACAAATTTATGAAAATAGAGCTAAAAATAACAAAAAAATAAAACTTCAAATTTGACCAAAACCTTCTCCGTTGCGTTTTCTTTTGCAACTGAGTATATTTTGATTTTATTGTGCAGGAACTGATCCCTCTGATTTTTGGCTTCGAACTGCCAATAATGTCAAAGAACGTGGACGTAAACTCACCTTACGTCACCAAGATCCAGGAACAGTACAGGGTACAGGTTATGTTCAAAACTAGACCCAAATTGCACGCTACTCTGGTCTTGGTAAAAGGTCTGGAGTGGGAGGTATGCCAAGTCAAACATGCCACCTTGCTGCTCATGGAATACATGTGTGACAATCTTGCTGTAAGTATTCTGTTGAGAGGCCTTTAATACTCATTAGCCCCATATGTTAGCCCTCAATACACCAGAAGATTCGGCCTGCGGATCCGGCCTTCGCCAATTCTGCACTATTTTAAAAAATAACATAGGAGTTTCTTAGCTCAGGAGTTTCTTCAGTCCATTTTTGATTCTTTTGGAATAGCCATGCATGTAGGCATATATCCAAAACCAGTTCTAGTACTATAGACTACGTGTCATCTTTTGATCCTAACTCCATCGCCTGCAACGTCTTTAGCTCGGGTCTCTCTGATCATGAAGCAGTTTTAACTAAATTTTCGATAAATTCCAAAATCAAGAACGCCCCTCGTAAATTATGCCGTATTTTTTTCAGAAAAAAATGCTCAAAAATTCAGTCACTTCTGTAAAACAACCAACTGGGATACTCGCTCTTATGATGTCGACACCGAATTTTCTATTTTCGTAAAAACATTAACCAATCTAGCGTTCAAATCCTTTCCTCTTAGGCCTATCAAAAATAAGCATAATAAACCTTGGACCACTAAAGGTCTACGCATATCTTCTAAAAACATGCGTTCATTATCTCAATTAAAAAATTCTCAGACAGTCTCTTCTTCCACAATTACGTCAAACTATACAGAAAAATTTATCATAAGACTATAAAAGCCGCTAAGGACCTTTATTATAATAGGAGAATAGCCAATTCTGGTAATGTTGCTAAAGAAACATGGTCTATTGTGAACGATTTGAGAAAAAAAGCTTCTTCGTCTAGCGATATCTCTACCTCACCTGAGAACCTTAACGATTACTTTGTAAATGTAGCGAAAAATTTAACTAATACCATATGTCCTTCTCATGATTCACAAACTTACACAGTTTCTTTTTTTCGCCCGTAGTTTTAGAAGAGCTTCGCAGTACAATTAATACCATCAAAAATAAATCCTCTTCTGGGACCGACGGGCTAACTTTAAAAATGTTTTCGAATCTGCCAGAAAGCACTCTGAATCACCTAACAACTTTAATAAACATGTCGTTCCAAAATGGTATTTTTCCAAAATGTCTTAAGACGGCAATAATCATTCCTCTGCACAAAGAAGGAGACAAAGATCAAGCTTCTAACTATCGCCCAATTGCACTTCTTCCAACGCTATCTAAGATCATAGAAAGGTTGGTTAAAAGAAGGCTGGTATCTTTTCCGTTTAAGTACAAAATACTTACTGAACATCAATTTGGATTTCTAAGCAACAAGTCCACAAATGACGCTATGTTTTCCCTCCTTAATAAAGTTTACTCCAGCCTAAACAACCATCCTTCTACAGCAACAATTTTCTGTGATTTTTCCAAGGCGTTCGACTGCGTAAATCATATAAGATCCTAATTAATAAACTGCAGCACTATGGGTTCAGGAGAACATTTCTCGAATGGTTTAAGTCATATCTGAGCAACAGAAGTCAACTTGTGAGGGTGGATACCACGTTGTCTTCTAGCAAGCCAATAGAATGTGGAGTACCACAAGGATCAGTACTAGGCCCTATTTTGTTTCTTCTTTTTATTAACGACATTGCTAACATAAACATCAATGGTAAAATATGTCCTTTTGCGGACGACACTAGCTTCACTTGGAGCAACAAGGACGTACTTCATAGGATTATATCAAATGACTTAATCACCATTAAATCTTGGTGCGATTCGAACCTCCTGAGTCTCAACATTTCTAAAACTAAAGCTTTGTCGTATAAAAACTCGTTGCAGTCTTTTGTACTTAACAACACCACCATTGACGTCGTAAAATCTGTCGCTGAGTAAAACTCTTCCTTCCTTATTTATATCTGAAATGGGACATACATATTTGAAGCTTTGTCGAAAAATTGAGCTCTGCCTGTTTTGCATTAAGGTTTGTTTCTATGAGCTTAACTTGTTAGTGGCTAGAAGCTGTTTATTATGCACTTTTGAGTCGCCCCTCAAATTATGCCGATTCCATTCTGGGGTACGTGTTGTGCGACTCAATTTGACTTCACATTTTCAAGCTCCAGAAGAGAGAGCTGTTCGATATTCACTGGGACTAAACAGCAGAACTCATTGCCAGGATTTTTTAAAAAAATTAAAGATATTAACTCTTCCTTCCTTATTTATATTTGAATCCGTTTGCCTAACACGTAAGCATGTATCAGCTTCTCAAGAAAGGCCATCTCACACTTATCCACTCAGGAACGCGGAGCAAGATCTTTATCTACCTACCCTACGCTCAGAGTTAGTTAAAAGTTCAATATTATACAACTCGAAAAAAATGCACAATCACCTGCCATTTGAAATCAAATCCATAACATCATTTTCTTTATTTCGCAAAGCATTGAAATCTTATTTACTAGACAAGGCTTTCTACGCCGTAAATGACTTATATTTTGATAATCGAATTTGATCTTGCAAACACTGGTTGATTTGCTATTACTATGTTTACTATAAACTTACTAAATATTTTTGAATCTTATTTTTATTTTTTTATTATTTGACATTGTAACAAATTTATAAATGTTTATTTTAAATAATAAGACTGACAATGTGATTTGTATACTTCTTTTGTATTCTCTTTTGTTTGTTTACTTTACCTTTGTCTACAAATTGTAAAAATTTTTGGACAATAAAGGCATGTATTTATTTATTTATTGTTAGATACCAAAGATTTGATGTTTCAGAGCCAAATCCCAGTACAGATGTCGATGGAAATCTCGCCCCATCATCACCAAATCGTCCTGGCCAAGAACCACACCAACTTGAAGACCATCATGCAGTACACCAGCTGTCAGATCATGTTTCCCGATGCTCAGGACCCGAACATACCTACTTTGAAGAAAAGTAATGTGACTATAACTGGAAATATCCACAACGTGTACAAGGCCAGGCAATTGCTGATGGGCAGCTTGCCATTGATCATCATCTTTGACTTGCCTGATGACGTGACAGGTTTAAGAGTGAAAGTAAGGGTTCATATATGTTTGTTATCAAAAATGATATAGTATATTTTTTTTGTGGTTCATAAAAATAGACCATTTTGCACGTATCATAATCATTTTTTGTTAAAGAGTTATAAGATTAAAACTTAAAGAGCTCATACTTGGAGGGAAGTTTTTTGAGGTGTCTACCAACCTGTTTGAAAAAAACAGTCGATTTTTTTGATCCACCCTAGTGCTCATATTATTTTTTTACTTTTTTCTTGATTGTAGCCTGAACAGATCAGCGAAATCCAGTCTACTTGCGATGTTGTGATCAACATTAGACCTAAAGCTAACAAGACAACAAAAGCTTGTGTGATCAAAGGAATTGAACGACTTGCCAGTAAGTTAACACTTACTTTATTCTACGAGGCATTTTATTTTATCCTTTTTTTCCTTCTAGCTAATATCTACAAAGCCAGGAACTTGATTTTGGGTGTGGACTACATCACCACCAGAGCTGACGTTCCAGCCTCGTACCACATGCCAAATTTGGCAGTTTTGACACAACCTAACGAAGTACTAGCCTCGACCAATGCAGTTCCAGCCATGTCTCCCTTGCTGAGTCCTCTGGTTTCTTCACCAAGTTGGTATTTCCCTTCACCAACAGTGAATCAGCAAACTCATGCACCACCCTTTGTTGGTATGACACAGCAACAGCATTTTTTCCCTAGCATGAGCATGGTACAGCATAATTCTAACAGCAGTGGGTAAGTTTATTGCCTTTTTTTTTAATTAATTATTACACAGGGTGGTCCGAACTGTGTTCCGGAAACTTCGGCAGCATATTCTGCAGATAAAAATACTTCAAAAAGTTCTAAAATGTGTCTTATGAAAAATCGCTACGAGTAACCGTTCTCAAGATATTTAGGATGGAAATAGTCAATAATACATGTCATTATTGACAAAAAATAAACATGCTGAGTAGATAGTTATTTGACTGACATAATGACAGTAATAATAAATTTTTCTTCGAAAAACGATGATAAAACAGTTTCTGTTGAACTTTTGTCTTAAAAACAGTTCAAATTTATGACTTCAGTTTAATAACTATTTAGTCAAGATGTTTAATTTATGTCAATGATGACAGATATTGAGAATTTGGATTCCAAATATCTCGAGAACCATTACTCGTAGCGAAACGTACCAAAAGACCTTTTTTTACGTAAAAAACGTCGTAAATATATATTTTTACTCAATAGTTTTATACAGGTACGGACAAAAAAGTTATTACTCTTCAAACCAGTTAAAAAATTTGACATTAAAATTAAATTTCGCATGTCAAAAAACCACCAGACACCAATTTTCATCCAAATATTGACGTTACTTCAGAAATTATTTGGAAAAAAATCGAAATAAAAGTGAATCTTCTACACCCTGTATCTCCGAAACTAAGCATTTTAGGACATGCATTTATACGAACTTTTTTACTTATTCCTACTGCTAGTTTCAGACCACCCTGTATGCACTTGTTCTTTTTTTTTAATTATTATTTATGAAAAATTAGATGTAAAAAAAACGTAAAAAAATAAAGACAACAAATGTTTTGCACTGGTCGGTATTGGTCTTGGTCTTGCTTTTTATCCAAGACCAAGACCTCAAGACTAAGACCAGCCTCTCTTAAACAAAAATAATACGTTGTTCGACAGGTACCAGTCAGCAACCCCAAATGTAATGGACCAAAATCAGGAAATGCTCAACGCCAACAGTAGTTCTTGTAGCGCCAGTTCACTGTCAACTATATCCAGCGCAAAAAATAGTCCTGTCCAGCCTGTATCGCCCAATTGTTACAGGAACTATCCTGAATCTCCTGCGCATACTCAGTATAGTCATAGCAGTACCACCAACGGTAAGTAAAAAGAGTATACTTATTTTAAGTCACCTTTTTTGCTGCTATTCTTCATTGTTTACGCTATCTGTTCTGTACTAATAAATAAATTAGTCGAATCAAAACAATTCACCTAAATTTTTAGCTCTTTAACTCAAACGGTTTTTGAGATTTTCAAAAAAACTCTTTGTTCAATTTTATTTTTATTTTTACAGTAAAATTCAAAATTAATTAATGATGATTTTAGAAAAAAAACTTAAAAGTTATTAATTTTTTTCATATTGTTCCACCACTTCAAAAAGTTCTAAAAAATTCCTGAGTGTGAAGAAGTATAAAAGACATTTTCTGACAATTTTGTAGTGAGTGAAATATTTCAATAAGGTTAAAAAAATTAAGATTTTAATTTTCTTTTCTCCGCTAAAAATCGGCTTTTCGTTTAAGAATCATAATCATATTATTTTTTCATGTCTTGGACTTCCAAGAATTAGAAAAAAAATCATCATTAATTAATTTTGAATTTTACTATACAAATAAAAATAAAATTGAAAAAACAGTTTTTTTGAAAATCTCGAAAACCGTTAAAGAGGTAAAAATTTAGGTGTATTATTTTGATTCGACACCAAATGGATCCCTTGGGTGCGAGTCAAAAAAAGCCGCGGGGGCAGATTTCCCATATACAGGGTTGTTCACCACATACGACACGGAGTATTGTAGCTAAACGGCTAGATTTTTACAAATTGTAAGTTTTGGGTTCGTTGAAGGACTATTAGAGCTACAATTTAAAAATATTTTTACAAGATACAGAGTGTCCTAAATAAATAAAAAATATCAAAGTTGTATTTTTTAAATGGAACACCCTATATATTATTACATTTTTAGTTTCTACGATTAAAATAAAGGTAAATTTGATTAACGTTTATTACACTTAAACCTTACCGTTTTTGAAATATCTTCAATTTTGTGAAATTGCAGTATAAATTTTAAGGCTTCATTTCTCCGAGGATATCAAAGTTTTTAATACTAAATATTTACTGAAATTTATTTATTGATCAGTTATTGTATTGCAATAATAAAAACTTTACTACCTTATACAGAGTGTCTAAAAATTTATTTTAAATAATTTCTAGCTTCAAACGCCAATAACTTCTTTAATTTAAATAGAATACCCTGTATATTTTAGGAGAATCAGATGCACAATTTAATTGTCTATCAAATTGCATTATACCATTTTTTACCTATCCCTTCAAGTTTCCGTAGAAAATGCATTTTCTTGTAATTTAGAACTCATTTATCAATATACCCATGGAATACTGACATTTTAGATTATTTTTAAAGATTTTTAAAGAATTTTTAAAGAGTACAGATACTAATATTGTCGATATAGTTCGTTTATTTCATTAACAAATTAAAAAAAACTGTTTAAATATTTGTTAAAGAGGACCAATTAATATGATTTCAGTATTCAAACTACATTAATTGACTGTTTGCGTTGATTAATAATAATTGCTCCAAATACTAAAAAACTGAATTATGTATGTGTATTAGACAGTGTGGTAAAAAGTAACACCTTCAAAATTATATTTAATTTGTTGACAAATGCTTATTTATAACAACAGAGACGTTCATTTTCATAACTTATTATTATATTGATTTCTGATTCAAATCCACATTTATTTAGAATAATTTATTAACGAACACAATTAAGTATGTAGTTAATTAGTATTTGGGCGGAAATACTGGTGGTATATTTAATTAATGGTATACTTTTTATACAGATTTAAATAGTTTTCTTTTTAGCATACAATGGGTTAGTAATATTATCGTTTTAGTAAAACGATAATATTAGTAGTCTGTACATTTTGTACATTTGTTGTTATAAAATAATCTAAAATGTCAATATTCCATGGGTATATTGATAAATGAGGTCTAAATTATAAAAAATGCATTTTCTACGAAAACTTGAAGGTATAGGTAAGAAATGGTATAATACAATTTGATAGACAATTAAATTGTGCATTTGATTCTCATAAATATACAGGGTGTCTATTTAAATTAAATAAGTTATTGCCGTTTAAAGCTAGTAATTATTTTAAAAAAAATTTAGACACTCTGTATAAGGTAGTATAATTTTTATTATTGCAACACAATAACTGAATCAATAAATAAACTTCAGTAAATATTTAGTATTAAAAACTTTGATATCCTCGGAGAAATGAAAAGCCTTAAAATTTATACTGCAATTTCGCAAAATTGAAAACATTTCAAAAACGGTAAGGTTAAAGTGTAATAAACCTTATCAAATTTACCTTTATTTTAAGCGTAGAAACTAAAAATGCAATAATATACAGGGTGTTCCATTTAAAAAAATACAACTTTGATATTTTTTATTTATTTGGGACACTCTGTATCTTGTAAAAATATTTTTAAATTGTAGCTCTAATAGTCCTTCAACGAACCCAAAACTTACAATTTGTAAAAATCTAATCGTTTAGCTACAGTACTCCGTGTCGTATGTGGTGAACAACCCTGTAAATCCGGCTATACCCTTATAAGTCCGATGTCAGCCCTTTTCGGCTAAAAGAACTTAAGTCACGTAGATGTAGTTTAGCTCAAACATCTTTGGGTTAGTTTGGTATGTTATGTTCACGGGTTCACAGTGGCTAAACTTGATTTTGACAGTTTTGCTATTATAGATAGGGTAGTCAATTTAAACTTAATAAAAATAGTACATTGGTTCCAAATTGCAACGTACATACCTGTTTTACAATTTTCTGTTAAGTGTTTTCTTATTATATCAGTAATATACGTTTATTTGGACTTACAATGGTTTAGCTTTTATTCATTTTGACATAAATAGGGACTTAATATAAGTTGAGCTTAATATAAGTAAAGTCCTGTAAATGTTTTTTTTTAATATAAGCTTGGTACATTTTCCGCCGGTGCTGCCACCATCGGAAAATATCGTAAACAACTACTATATACAAATACACGGGTTTAAATAACGAGTATACGAAATGATTATTATACAGGGTGTTTCAAAACAAATGCGAAAAACTTCAGGGGGTGATTCCTTGTTCAAAATAAAGGGTAGTTTGCTTCATAAACGTTGGGTCAAAAGTCAACCATTAGGGAGATATTGCGGTACAAAGATGGCGGAAAAATAATGTTTTTATTTTTTATCTTGAAAACGAAAAGAGATAGACTAATAAAATTTTATGGAAGCATTACTGTTATGAAAACACACTTTCTGGTAATTTTTTTACTTTTTTAAAATGAGCGGAAGGGGTTGAAATAAACTACCCCTATCATTCTTGTTAACAAAATTTAAAGAAACATCTTATCAATCACATGCAAAAAAATTAATTTGGATAGTTTAGTTTGTTTAGAAACTTTTTTATCTCTGGTATTTTTTTGATAAAACTCACCGATTTGAAATTAAAAAATAAAATGTAAAGCATTACATGTCAGGACAAAAAAAATTTTCTGATAAAGAATCTAGTGGGCTGCTGTAATTTTTTTAGGAAAAAATCTAGTCGGCCGCTGTTACTTTTTAGGATGTTCCTAATATTATTTTATTTGACATTACTCTACTGCAATACGTTATTATCTAGATGATTATTATTATCGTTATCACTAGATTCTTAATCTAAAAATGTTTTTTGTCCTGACATGTAATGCTTAATATTTTATATTTTAATTTCCAATCGGTGAGTTTTATCAAAAAAACACAAGAGGTAAAAAAGTTTCTAAACAAACTAAACTATCCAAATTAAAGCATTTGCATGTGTTTGATAAGATTTTTCTTTAAATTTCGTTAACAAGAAAGATAGGGGTAGTTTATTTCAACCCCTTCCACTTATTTTAAAAAAGTAAAAAAATTACCAGAAAGGGTGTTTTCATAACAGTAATGCTTCCATAAAATTTCATTAGTCTATCTCTTTTCGTTTTCAAGATAAAAAATAAAAACATTATTTTTCCGCCATCTTTGTAGCGCGATATTTCCCTAATGGTTCACTTTTGACCCAACGTTTATCAAGCAAACTACCCTTTATTTTGAACAAGGAATCACCCCCTAAAGTTTTTCGCATTTGTTTTGAAACACCCTGTATAATTATTCTAGAAGTGTTAGGAAGTATAATTTGTGAAAATTTTCAAAATAAAAATAAAAAAATAAATATTTTGATATCCTCAGAAGGTCTAAGTTTTATTATAATTTATTATTTCAGTTAAAAAACTTATTAGATGAATTCAGCTACGGTAACGAGCATAATTTTAATTACCAGTTTTGCTAGTGGGGCATAATTGGAGCTATTTCGGCTATAACAAAAATTTTTATAGGTACATAATTTAATTTTAGAAGATAATTCAATTAGTTTATAAAGCATTTAATCACTAGTTGATTAAAAAAAGTATACCATTAATATTACAAATTATATTTTATCCTCTCATAGTATACAGTGGTGGCCAAAAGTATGGAAACTTTTTACTTTTTAAAATATCACAGAAAATATTGCTATGCTTAAACTCTCAGGAATATAAATGAACAGCTTATCAGCAAGTAAAACTATTCCAAAAATTACACAGCGAAAAAATCTGTTTAGCAGTTTTTGTAGGAGAACAATAGATTTCTTGTAGCCAAAAGTATGGAAACCATAAATAAATACATTAAAATTATTTAGTTTAAGCTGATAAACGGTACGATTTGCTTCAGATAAATATAAACATCATGCCCAAGTCTAAATATTTCTGTACGGATTTAAAAAATAAAATAGTTGAATTATACAAGAGCGGTTATAAACAAATTCAAATAAGAAAAAATTTAAACATTTTAAAAGGCACCGTTTCGAAAATAATTCGTAAATTTAATAAAACAGGTAACGTTTCAACAGCTTTTAAGTCAGGAATACCAAGAAAGTTGTGCAACAGGACAATGAAAGTAATGAAGAGAATATCAATGGGAGATCCAAGAAAAACATCCACAGACATTTCTCGAGAAATGGGTGAAAGGGGAATATCGGTGTCTGCACGCACGGTGAGAAGAATGGCATGGGACTTTTTGGAAGAGTTGCGGTGAAGAAACCACTAATATCAAAGAAAAATAGGATGGCCCGCTTTAAATTTGCTCAAGATCATCTCACCTGGTCTTATCAGAAATGGAATATTGTACTGTTTAGCGACGAAAGCAAGTTTCAACTGTTTGGTAGTAACGGGAGACGTTATGTCCGAAGACCAAAAGGTACACGGTGCAGCCATAAGTACCAGATGCCTACAGTAAAACATGGGGGTGGGAGTATAATGGTATGGGGGTGTTTTTCTCGCTCAGGTGTTGGTCCTCTTGTTAAAATTGATGGGATAATGGATCGTTTTTTGTACAAAGACATATTGGAGAATAATATGCTGCCTCATTCTGATGAAGAAATGCCACTCAGATGGTTGTTCCAGCAAGACAATGATCCCAAGCACAAATCTCGGTTTGTTCAAAATTGGTTAAATGAACATAATGTTCCACTAATGGATTGGCCCTCACAGTCTCCGGATCTTAACCCCATAGAAAATTTATGGGACCATTTGGATAGCAAAATTCGAAGCCATTCTATTTCAAATAAAAATGAATTATGGGAAGTAGGCTAAAAACTGAATGGGCGGCCATTTCCAGTAAAGATTGTACGAGATTGATCGATTCGATGCCACGAAGATGTAGAGAAGTAATTAATTCAAAGGGATATTCCACTAAATATTAGTAATTTTTATATTATCTTGAATTTTAATAAACATTCTTCTTAAGTTTCCATACTTTTGACCAAGAAAATATACATAATTTTTTATATATTTTTTGATAGCTGTAATTTTTTATTTAAATGTATAAGGTTTTGTAGGAAATTATTTGTAGGTCACGATTATATAAGTCGTTTTATTTCATATTTTAATTTCTCAGCATAAATGACAAATTAAAAAAGTTTCCATACTTTTGGCCACCACTGTATGTCTATTTAATTTTTTGACTATGTAACGAGCACTTTGTTTACTCACTTGTTTCGTCGAACTGCTTGAATCCATTTTTGCTTTTGAGCAAATCGGTGTGAGAAACTATAAAGCTATAAAATGTTGTTTCGGGAGAGTTGAATATCCGGGAAAGTTGAGTTATTGAATGTTATTGCACCCAACAACGCCTTAATTACGCTCCACTTTACGCGTTTACATTTTTCGGCAATATTATTAATCTCACTCCAAAAAACTTTGGTATAATTTATTTAAAAAATTGTTTAACATTTCATTTAAGTTCAAATAAGTTGTTAATTTGTTGTAATATAATTGTCGCTTCTGGGGTACAGATATTGATTTACCTGTTTTTGTAAAAGTTTCAGAATTTGCCACAGCATTATCTGAAATGAACAATCCGGGAGAGTACCATGGACCAACTCTGGACAAGAAAATGTCACTGTCACCCGGAGATTTGACACCCTATGAGTACGAAAACAAGCGATTGGCTGGCTTAAGAGCAATGCAGGCTTTACCCAACCCTGGAAGTATGCGAGTACCCAACAATTCCTGGTCGGGGTACGGTATAAGCCAGACCAGCCCGGGAGGGTTCCTGGTTGATAAGTTTAGATACAGGGTAAGCTGTAAATATGGTACAACATTTTTTTAAATTTATACTTTTTAAAATTTCAACATAGGAAGATGAAATTTGGAAGCCCAACACACCGCGTCAAAATAGTGACATGATGAACATGCCGTCAACTTCCAGTTCTGCTATGTTGAACACTAGCAACCTTTTGGATCATACTCCAACTCACGTATGGAACAGGGTTAATTATAATGGGTAAGTAGTTCACATTTAGAAATATTGACATAAAATACCTTTTGATAAAAACATCTATACTAATATATAAAATTCTTAAGTGACTCACTGATTAATCACGATCCTGCTCAAACCACTCAAGCTCAATTTTGGCATACAGGTTGATTCTAGGGTGTAGAGGTTCGATAAGAAGGGATTTTCCGAAATTCCAGTTCCAAGAGGGTGAAACCACCTCTCAAATATTACAATATTTTTTATTTAAAAAACGCTTAAACGCGTATATTTTATTTTGTTTTTTTTACATATTTTAACATTTTTTAAAAATGTATACAGGGTGTTTCGAAAAATCTGGTCATTGATTAATCACGATCCTGCTTAAAGCGCTTGACGTAAAAAGCTGATTTTTGGGAAAACGGATTGACTTTAGGGTGTAGAGGTTCGACAAGAAAGGATTTTTTGAAACTCAAATTCTAAGGGGGTGAAACCACCCCTCAAATATTAGAATATTTTTTATTTAAAAACTGGTGAGTTTTTCGGAAAAACTCTTAAACACGTGTATTTTATTTTGTTGTTTTACATATTTTAAGATTTTTTAAAAATTTATACAAGGTGTTTCATAAACTATGACCATTGAGTAATCACGATTCTGCTTAAACTGCTTGACGTTTAAAGCTGATTTTTGGCAAACGGATTGACTGTGGGGTGTAGAGGTTCGATAAGGAGGGTTTTCTCGAATCTCAAATTCCAAGAGGGTGAAAACGCCCCTCAAATATTACAATATTTGTTATTTAAAAAACGGTTAGTCTTTCGGGAAAACGCTTGGACAAGCATAATTTATTTTTTTACATATTTTGAAATTTAAAAAAAAATTATACAGGGTGTTCCGAAAAGTTGGGAAATTGATTAACCACGATTCTGCTTAAACTGCTTGACGTAAAAAGCTTATTTTTGGCAAACGGATTTTTCGAAAGTCAAATTCCAACAAGATGAAATACCCCTCAAATATTACCAAGTTATATAATAATATCGCCATATTGTTTTTTCTCATGCTGACATAAATGTGAGAAAATTTTATCCAGTTTGTATGTTAATGGAAATTCTTGCTTTGCTTTATCATCAACATTACAAATGATTAATTCGACGCGAACGAAGTCGCGGGTACACGTTAGTACTTTTCATAAAATATCTTAAACAACATAGATAATTCCTTTGGGTAGTTTGCCACTTGTATTGTAAAACAAGTTGGTCCACGTTGAATTAACGCAGCGGTGTTTACAAAAAATAATTATTTTATTTTGTAGATTTTCTTACAGTGGCAAGTGGCAAAATTACTTTATTGAAGAGATGAATCAGCCACAGAGGTATCTTCTTGGACTGATTTTGTCTAAATTCTAAAAATTTTGAGCTTATATACTAAATAAAGGGAAATTTGATGTGACAAAAAATGGGTGCAGTCAAGCCTGGTGTTGCCCACTGAAGACGCCAGCATGAGTATATTTGATAAAAGTGGTTTCTATATTGTGAAAACTTTCATACTTAGATTGCTAAAGATGCTGGATGTATGAAATGATAACGGTTTCATTAAATTTACGCTTTTTAAATAACACGTTTCCTCGCGGACAACCCAGGTCTTCAACCATTTTAGTTGACAAATTTGAAAATCATAATTTTGACGTTCACGATTGCCACTTTCTAGTACGCCGTGAAATCTCAAAGTAGTTCACCCTGTATACAGTGGTGGCCAAAAGTATGGAAACTTTTTACTTTTTAAAATATCACAGAAAATATTGCTATGCTTAAACTCTCAGGAATATAAATGAACAGCTTATCAGCAAGTAAAACTATTCCAAAAATTACACAGCGAAAAAATCTGTTTAGCAGTTTTTGTAGAAGAACAATAGATTTCTTGTGGCCAAAAGTATGGAAACCATAAATAAATACATTAAAATTATTTAGTTTAAGCTGATAAACGGTCCGATTTGCTTCAGATAAATATAAACATCATGCCCAAGTCTAAATATTTCTCTACGGATTTAAAAAATAAAATAGTTGAATTATACAAGAGCGGTTATAAACAAATTCAAATAAGTAAAAATTTAAACATTTTAAGAAGCACCGTTTCGAAAATAATTCGTAAATTTAATAAAACAGGGAACGTTTCAACAGCTTTTAAGTCAGGAAGACCAAGAAAGTTGTGCAACAGGACAATGAAAGTAATGAAGAGAATATCAATGGGAGATCCAAGAAAAACATCCACAGACATTTCTCGAGAAATGGGTGAAAGGGGAATATCGGTGTCTGCACGCATGGTGAGAAGAAGGTTGGATGACATGGGACTTTTTGGAAGAGTCGCGGTGAAGAAACCACTAATATCAAAGAAAAATAGGATGGCCCGCTTTAAATTTGCTCAAGATCATCTCACCTGGTCTTATCAGAAATGGAATGTACTGTTTAGCGACGAAAGCAAGTTTCAACTGTTTGGTGGTGACGGGAGACGTTATATCCGAAGACCAAAAGGTACACGGTACAGCCATAAGTACCAGATGCTCACAGTAAAACATGGGGGTGGGAGTATAATGGTGTGGGGGTGTTTTTCTCGCTCAGGTGTTGGTCCTCTCGCTCAGGTTGGATAATGGACCGTTTTTTGTACAAAGACATATTGGATAATAATATGCTGCCTCATGCTGATGAAGAAATGCCACTCAGATGGTTGTTCCAGCAAGACAATGATCCCAAGCACAAATCTCAGTTTGTTCAAAATTGGTTAAATGAACATAATGTTCCACTAATGGATTGGCCCTCACAGTCTCCGGATCTTAACGCCATAGAAAATTTATGGGACCATTTGGATAGGAAAATTCGAAGCCATTCTATTTCAAATAAAAATGAATTATGGGAAGTGCTAAAAACTGAATGGGCGGCCATTTCCAGTAAAGATTGTACGAGATTGATCGATTCGATGCCACGAAGATGTAGAGAAATAATTAATTCAAAGGGATATTCCACTAAATATTAGTAATTTTTATATTATCTTGAATTTTAATAAACATTCTTCTTAAGTTTCCATACTTTTGACCAAGAAAATATTCATAATTTTTTATATATTTTTTGATAGCTGTAATTTTTTGTTTAAATGTATTAGGTTTTGTAGGAAATTATTTGTAGGTCACGATTATGTAAGTCGTTTTATTTCATATTTTAATTTCTCAGCATATAAATGACAAATTAAAAAAGTTTCCATACTTTTGGCCACCACTGTATATATTAATTAAAATAACAATTGCACGTTAATCCAAGTTAAAATTTGGCCTAAAGAGTTGTACTGGGTGCGACAAAATTAATAATGAACACTGATTCTATTCGGAGTAAAATGACTTTTTGTGCCTCGGCTGTATGTCGTGGTCAAACGTACAGTACCTCGACGCAAAAAGTATCATTTTACCCCTAATAAAACAATATACTATTGCCTACTGAAAAACAGGCAAGGATATAATAATATTTTTGTTTTGCCCATTTTGCAGTAACTGGCAGGACATGTCCTCGATACTGACCGCCCTCAAACTGGACCACTACGTGCCCGTCTTCAAGCAGCACGAAATAGATTCGACGATTTTTTCGACGCTGACCGACAAGGACTTGGTCGACATTGGCATCACCGCCTTCGGGGCGAGGAGGAGGATATTGCTGGCAATATCAGGTAATAATTTGCATCTTACCATAGATTGTATGTATTGGTTCTGGCATCATATTATAGAGTAAGATCCCAGAGCGATCAGACATAACTTATTTTCACAAGGATGAAACCTTAGGCTCTCAGTAGTGTTCTCATGTGCTTTGAATACCGGCATATTTGTGGGGTTCGTAGAATTAAAAAAAATTCCAAAATTTTTTTAAAAAAATTCCAAATTTTCAAAAAAAAAATCGAGCAAAAAACCTCATAATCATGATTATAACTTTGTGTATGTAGTTTGCAGTGCATCTTTAGCTGAAAATCTTAAAAAAAATCCTCATATGATCATTATCTGTAGAATCACCCAAATTTTTTTTTACACTCTGTATACTGATTTGTTATTAAATTACTTTTAAATTTACGCTGGGACTTCTGTTAAATTATTATTTTGTTAACAAAAATAAATGTATTTTTTGTATTTTTTCTGTCATTTTTCAGAAATGAATAAACGAAATGTACCATTTTCTGCAGCACCAGGAGCCGAAAGAAAAGGCTCGTCATCTAGTTCAAACGGTACCAACGGTAGTCCCAGAAACAGTACCAATTGGTAGAATAAAAATACATCAACTTTAATCATATAAAAAGATACCAAAAAGTACAAAAAATATCGTTAATATAACATTTCTCCTCAAAAAGAGAATATTTTTTTCTTTGTTAAAAACATTCTCAAATAATTAAAAACAGATATACTTATAAGTATTTTTTGTTTGTTTGTATATATTTCTTGTTGATAATTAAATATATTTTTTAAAAATAATTTAGAAATAAGATATTAAAATTAAGTGTTCTATATAAACTTTTTCCAAAAAAATACCTACATCAGTGTATTATATAGATTATAATCAAAATTACTGAATGCTAACCATAAAAAATGATGAAATTAACCATAAAATGACTTAAAACCACATACTATTGATATTGAAAATATTACTATTTTTCTATAGACCTACTTGATTCCTAACGAAAAAAACTTAACCATAAAAATGATTTATTTATTCTGAAGTATTACAAAATACTTTTTTTGTTTACTTTATTAATTTTTGATATAATATTTTTTAAAATTACTTTAGGAATAAGTTAAATTTAAGTGTTATTTTTTGTGCTTATTGCGAATTTTATTTAAAGTACATTAAAATCTATTTCTTTAAATGTTTTATCTTGCCCGGTAAAATTATTGGCATTTTCCAGGAAAATTCATTATTGAAAGTGCCGGAAATTATTCAGTTTTTCTTTATTTTTAACCAATTTATTCCAAACTGAAATTCATTTTCTTCAAGTAAATAAAAATACAAAATAAGTCTTTATATAACACCAGCAATTTTATTTCTTTAATTTTTTTATTAAAATTTAGTTTTAAAAAGGTAATAACTATTTTTTGTTAACCAGGAAAAACATCACAAATGTAATAATAATTAGTTTTGTTATAAACAACGTACTGTAGAACATGACAATTCGTTATTTTAACAAAAATATATCGGTAATATAATAATATAATATAAAACAGAATAGTTACTTGTAGAACCTCCGGGTAAGATGAAATATTTAAATAATATTGCTATAACAAAAAGAAACGGTGTTATAGTGACCTTCGACATGATATTCGATGATAATTTCCGTTGGGCTAATCGCTATTGTGTTACTTATTAAGAACTGATGCAAAAACTTGTCAAAAATGAATATCTAAATAGATAAAAGTGTTTATTTTTATATATAGAGCTCGACCCGACCCAAAATATTATCGATTGTTATTTCAAAGGGTACTGTGACACCGTTTTTTTTATCATGTATAGTTTAAACAAGCACCTTAGATGTTTCATTGTTTTGACTTGTGTTTTTCAGTGTTCTGAAATTGTTTCTAGAAAATTCTAAAGAAAAAACATGAAAAACCATTGTTATTTTCTTTACACTGCAAATTATATTCTAGAAATAAATCAGGAGACTATTTTTTTTAATTTTTGTGATGTATTTATTCCTATTTTTTGTTTATATACTTATATATGTACAATTTACGTAACATTTTTGTCTCTTATATGTATACTGTGTGTATATTTTGACAATAAAATACGGTTGTGATATTTTAAATGTTAAATTTATACAATAATAATAAGAAATAATAAACAGAAAAAAATTTTACCATATGTAAGATGAAACGGATTATTTATTTTTAGTATTATATACTCATAATAATTTTTCCTATTAATGTAAGCAAAAGTTTTGATTTAAGATGTTTTTCATTTGTGACAAGATTATTAAAAATTTAGGACCTAAATACGATATGATTTTTTTATGGAATTGAAACTTTTGTATTAAATTATTCTTTTTTTTGTATTAGTTGATCTCGAAATTATATTATTATTTATTTATTATATTAAGTTTAATTATTATTATTGTTAATATTCATTCACTTCATTGTTATATTAATTATTGTTGTTTAAACTTCTATTTAAATATAAAAAAATATAATTATTTAAAGATATGGTATTTTTATTTTCCCAATTATTATACAGGGTGGAGCCTTTCATACGACCCGGAAGCTCCAAGTAGAACGATAGTTTGTATTGAAATGAAATTTTGTCAGTTGATGTAGGTTAATTTAGTGTAATTTTTAAAAATATATAGAATTATACAGGGTGTCCCCAAACAAAGTTACATATATTAATTGTTTTTCGGATTCTAGGAAAAAAATAAAGGTGAGTTTTATTAAAGCAGCATATACTTAAAATTTAAGGATTTTGACATATTTCACATTTGGTGAAAATAAAGAGTAAATTTTAAATTTGGATAACAGCTACCTAAATTTTAGTTGACGTTGTATAGCCTGATATTTAATTACAGTAACCATTGTCTGTTAAACCAAATTGAAATTTCGCCCGAAAAGTTATACAGGGTGAGACAAAATTAATATGGAACATTAGTCACTTTTAAAAGCAAGTTATTCCTTTATTTTAAATGGAACACCTAGTACATCTTTCCCCTGTTTAATGGGGAATTTATATATCTTCAAAATATTATTAAGACTCAGACAAAGATTTTCCTAGATATATTTAATTTTTATGATTTTGCATCAGTAGATCTTAATTATTTGAAAAAATCTAGGGTGGCTGTGTGATATACCTTTTGTTAATTTAACAAAAATTAAAGATTGTATAGTAAAATACTCAACGGTAATAAAAAGATACGCGTTTAAAACATATTTTAATTATTACAGAATTAAAACTAGATATAAACCTATAATTATGTGACAAAATTAGCTAAATGAGATCAAATGCTCAAAATGCTTCCTTTCCTGTTAACTGAATAACTTCTATATCATCCTGTATATAAACCATCCGTTCAACGAACTTATTACACCAGTCTTCCACAAATTGCATACGCGGCACTTTTTCAAAACATCATTAATCCTATCCCCTCTATATTGCTATCCCCAAATCCATTCACATCCAGACAAGACGTTGAAGTGAAAAAATAAGAGTAAATCGGGAACATCTGCACATTATCTCAGGCCGGAGGCTCTTCCAGACGCCTCTGCGGGCCCCCCGCAGTTTGTTGATACGTGTTTCTGTTTAGGTTTGCCGAGAAAATAAATCCATCCCAAACAGATAAATAAAAACAGTACGCTGTTTATCTCCATGTAATCGGTAGTCCAGTATCCAGATTTATATTTGTTTAAAAGTATGTCTTGTATTTATATTCGTTTGTAAGTCTTTCGAGAATAATTCTAGAAAAAATACACTCTAGGTACACTGTAGTTTTTAAGACAAAATTCATACATACATACTTAAAGTCTTCATATTTTTGGACTAGTAGCTGTTCTAATTGTAATAATAAAATAACTAATAGTAATAAATAATAATATTTAATCTATACTAATATATAAAATCCTTAAGTGACTGACTCACTGATTAATCACGGTCCTGCTCAAACCACTCAACGTAAGAAGCTCAATTTTGGCATACAGGTTGATTCTAGGGTGTAGAGGTTCGATAAGAAGGGATTTTTCGAAATTCCAGTTCCAAGAGGGTGAAACCACCCCTTAAATATTACAATATTTTTTATTTAAAAAACGGTCAAGTTTCCGAAAAAACTCTTAAACGCGTATATTTTATTTTGTTTTTTACATATTTTAAGATTTTTTACAAATGTATACAGGGTGTTTCGAAAAATCTGGTCATTGATTAATCACGATTCTGCTTAAAGCGCTTGACGTAAAAAGCTGATTTTTCGAAAACGGATTGACTTTAGGGGGTAGAGGTTCGATAAGAAGGGATTTTTCGAAACTCGAATTCTAAGGGGGTGAAACTATCCCTCAAATATTAAAATATCTTTTATTTAAAAACCGGTGAGTTTTTCAGAAAAACTCTTAAACACGTATATTTTATTTTTTTGTTTTACATATTCTAAGATTCTTTATAAATTTATACAGAGTGTTTCATAAAATATGACCATTGAGTAATCACGATTCTGCTTAAACTGCTTGACGTTTAAAGCTGATTTTTGGCAAACGGATTGACTGTGGGGTGTAGAGGTTCGATAAGGAGGGTTTTCTCGAATCTCAAATTCCAAAAGGGTGAAAACGCCCCTCAAATATTACAATATTTGTTATTTAAAAAACGGTTAGTCTTTCGGGAAAACGCTTCGACAAGCATAATTTATTTGTTTTTATTTACATATTTTGAAATTTTATAAAAAATCATACAGGGTGTTCCAAAAAGTTGGGTAATTTCTTAACCACAATTCTCCTTAAACTGTTTGACGTAAAAAGCTTATTTTTGGCAAACGGATTTTTCGAAAGTCAAATTCCAACGAGATGAAAATACCCCTCAAATATTTCCAAGTTCCCGTCCTACATTTTAATCAAATTTGTAATATGTTCGTTTAGAATGTCCCATTTCTAATAAAAACTTTTCATACCTTTGAGGTCATAAACGTTTAACCCTACAATATAAACATAGCCAATTGATAACTTTAACTATTACTGTTGGGAATTTTGATCATGAATTTATAAAGCTCCATATTTACAGTCTGTCTATTTGAACAATGTAAAAGGGCAGTGTCGTCCACTGCTCTGAATATTAGATTATTGGGACAAGTATTTTTAAATAATTAATGTCATAGGCGGTTTATAAAATTGTACTGTACGCCTCTGGCATTTCTGTAGCTTAGATATTATTTAAGGAACTGCAAGACAGGCCCTCACACTCTTTGCAGAAACCTTCTTTTTGCTGAACACTCCTTTGCTTTTGCTCTTCTCAACTCTCTTTTTACTCTTCAACACGTTATTATTTTTCACAGTTTCCCTCAGGGTAACTATTGTAATTAGTTTATCATAATTAAAGTTAAGTTATATTAAAAAACAACAGTGTACATTAATTCCACACCCGAAAAGACCCTCAACAAGTTGGCCCTTCTGAAGAGGACCACAACACAAATATTACCAAGTTATATAATAATATCGTGTAAAATCGGTATTTTTGGTGCTTACTCAACCGGGTCTCACAATGCAAATATCCATTTAGTTGGTCATTGGCAAGCACTCTCTCATTGTAGATGAAAATAACAAAAAAAACATTTACTGATCTGGATAAAATTGATAGTTAAATAGTAAGACTCACCCGGGGGTACTCCGCCCCCTAGCCACTGACATCACTGATATTCTATTC